GATGTACTGGGCACGTGCGGAATTCTCGCATAATTTCCATCAATCAGTTATAAATATTTAATCAGATTGCTTCGTGCACTAACCAGAATTGCTGTTGCTGATTTAAAAAACAGCCAATTATACAGGTGTAATTACAATAACAATATTAACAAGGTTGCATTTGTGATTACCTAACCCAAGTTACTACCACCGCACCGGAAGAGTGGTGGACTTAAATTTATACCTAATTAATCATGTGAATTTTTCACTCATAGTTTGGTTCCCCGTTTTACTCCGATTTTAAGTAATTCTATTTTTGGATGGAATTGCGATATTTTTGCTAGAAAATTGGGGAAATAAGCGGAAAATCCTAATAAATTTGAATTGTCAATTTTTACTCTAGAAGCATGCAAATGATTTCATACATGGGCATGGTTAACAATATCAATTAACATGGTGTGAAATTGACGAATTTCAGTCTGTGACACATTTATTACGCAATGTCTGAATGAGTCTGGCGCACTCAAAAAGTGTTAATACACATGCACGTACACAAAAAAAGTGTTCTGCTTAGAATAATGTTAGTCATTGTCTTAGTGAACTAAAAATAACTTTAGCTCGATCGCATTTGCGTCGGTTCTTCCCCAAAATAAAGGGCTGGGAGAAGTACTTGCAAATGCAAGACCGGGAAGTACCTATATTTCACCGCTCGAGCAATTAAACTATTGACACCTGCTTAAATGAATTAAGGCCGCTAACGGTTTCAGGAAAAATCTAGAATGCCTTTTAAACTACATAATCATCGTTCATTGCCAAAATTAGTCATCCTCAACCTCATGTACCTAGCCTAGGATTTATTCATGTTTGCATGCAAATATCTGTAAAGGTAATGCATTTCAAGTGTTTGCCTGGGCACTAATATATTTTCATTAGTTTCCGAATCAATTAAGATGCCGATAGTTGATCTGGGTTGTCTGAGTAGATCCGTGGCTCTTTGTGATAATCGCAGTCTTTGCAAGGGACGCAACCGCCATACCCCCATCAGTTCCTCCTGATTGCGAAAATTACAAAGAATATCAAGAATGTGAATTTTAAGCAATCGAAAAATCTGGAAAATTCGCTAAATTCGGCACTTTTGCCAAATATACTGTCTAAAACTGAAGAAAATGAAGACACTGAAGAAATTAAAGATATACTTTTCTCAACTAATGAAGAAATAATATATCACCAAAAAACTCAGGTTCGATGGGTCTTTGTCGATCTCATGACTGAAAAATCGAAAAGATTCGAGGGAATAATGAAAGTCTAACACATCTCACACACCACAAAAGTTTCGTTCCGTTTTGCGTAAAGGCAAACACGTGACGAAAATGCGGACTTTTTTGTTAATTAAGTTGGGTTTTAAAAAAATGAATTCGGTGAATTAAATATTTAAGTACAAATCCGGCGGGAGAGTAAGATTCTTACTAAAATTTTCAAAGTGAATCTATGCCGGTCGATCGCTTCTTTTTTCGATTACGTATTGATTTTTAGCCGAACCATCCGTGCAAATTTACATATTGTGAACGCGTAAACCTTCATTAGGTATTAATTAAAGGTTCGAGCCGAAATCCGTATAGCCACAGTGTGTGGGAGAATTGTTCTCGGAACCGGAGACTGTGCCGCCATTTTTAACAGGTTTAACGAACGTGTGTGACTCTTAATTCGCTACGCTTGTATTAATGTGTTCGCGTTTAAATAAATGGTTACTACAAATGCGTTTGGGGTCCAAACTGCAAAACATTCCATTGCACCAGATTTGTAGTGGCAAATTACGTAAAAAGCTAATTATTAATCAATTTTTTTTATATGAAGCGCAACAAATTTACGAACAAACCGGCCACCGGTGAAAAGGTTAAAGACAACTAATTCAAGCTTTTGTTTGCAGTTAAAACCTTAGGTTACAAGGGGACATTTTTGACATTTATACATTGCGGAACATCGGTAATTTATTACTGTGAATAACTCAATAAAGTTCCAACAAATTAAATCAAAGTAAGCTTAAAGCAAGGTTTATTCCTTAATCAAACTACGCCAATCATTTTTCGAAATTAATTCAACTCGTAATACCACTATCCAATTTTCCAAGTTACTGCTGCCTCCCAAGGGAAAAATTCAACTGACAATTCCTGAAGAGGATAATTTAGAATTTCATGACCTGCAATGCCAGTTTTTGGGGTGGTGGGTTTTAAATTTGTGGTTTAGCATTCAGCAAATGTGTAAATTTGTTTTGAATAGGAATCTGTACCAGGTAGGTATTTGATTAATTACGAATATTTAAAAAATCCTGATATTTAATTAGATTTAAAACGTAGGATCAGGTTTTTGAGTTTCAGATTATAAGAGGACATAAAGAACCAACGTTCCGTAAGGTAAGAGTAATTGAATGTTTATTTATTACTGAGCTAGCCGTGGTATTAATTATTTCATTGCATAAGATTAATTGTTACAGTAAAATTTTTACCATTTCCGTAAAAATTAAACTTTATTTTAGGAGCGCTGGGTGATCAACCCCTGTAAGTGGAACTATCCAGTCACAGTTGGAAAAAAATGTGAGACTGGCGTCATCCAAATTTTCAGCGCATTAGGAATCATTGTACCAAAAACTTGGATGCGTTCTTGAATGCCGAAACAGCCCAATGCGATTGGCAGCAGGCAGTTGTATAAATTATGTTTTTCGTAATGGTGACGACACTGTTGTTAAAGAAGGTGAGACAATTGCGCCCAAGATAAAATGCTGTCCTTTAAAGAAAAGTGACATTAAAATCATTCGAAATCGATTGATGGTTAGCCCTTAAATTAAATGAACAACCGTTTTAATGAAGAGAACGTTTCAATAAAATACTTTTTACACAATTTATTAAAGAGAACCGATTGTTATTTTTATACAAATCAAGAAATTGCAGTACCTTACGTATAGCGCATGGATCGAAGTATGTTGTCAGGATTAGGCACCATACCGTATAGCCAAAGCTAGCTAAGAAGTGTGCAGTATTCGTGCAGTAGTCGTACCTCTTAAAGGTCGAAAAAATGGTCAAATCGCCCACAAAAAGTTCACAAAGGGTTCAAAAAATGTTGGTAGCAGAAATGAGCACGCCAATTACACCATTAGGCACCAATAAACCTCAATTATACACGGTCGCTGGTAATTCTGGAAACAGGCGAAAACATACAAGTAACGAAATATGTTTTATACAAAAGTTTTGGGGTTCTTCAATATCTACTAGGCATTAATAATTTATTCAATAGATTTAAAGTAATAACTTTTAGTTTCAAAACTCGATAACTCGAAAAATATTGGATTTGGGTACCTACAGTATGCTTCTTACAAATTATGTACAAAATTGAGAGAAAAATTTAAATATCGAATAATATATATGGTGTTTGTTCTATTTAAAAAAATGCAATATTAGTCTATCAAGCCTTTATATTTTTTTTTGGATTGGATCCATCGTTCCTCGAAATGGGGGTTGAAATATATTGTGTGATCAACTCTCTAAAAAAAAAAAAACTATATGGGGAAGGTTTAGAGAGTTTTGATCACACAACAAGCCTTTATAACCAATCCTGTATAATTAAAATTACTACTGCCTAGTAGACATTAAAGAACGTCAAATCTTTTGTATAATGTTTCATATGTACGGGGTCTTTTGGATTACCTAAATGTTTTTGGATACTATACCATCTGAAGTTGTACCAGTTTGCAAATTTAATTTGAAAAGAATTTATATCTTTCAGTCGATCGCTGATGATGACAGCTTTGCTGTTGAAACGCGTTCGATCTTTTAATATATTCCAGTTCCAGTGCTTCCTCTGAAGGTACAAAAAAATGTTCGTCGCAAAAATCAGCAATCAGCAGTATTCTACGTTTTTTTGACACAGATTGCTATCTTAAGGTTAGGGTAGCAGTGCGTCGTTCTTTTTTCAAAACCTCAAAACGGTGGGCGGGAGAAAGTTGCCAATTTATGAGTCATTATGGTACATTTCGTCGTTTTTTTAAAAAGAAAAAGAACGTTGGTGGTTGAAGTCGGCAATGAACAAAATATGAAATATTTTTGGCCGATGTGCGGTACAGTCGGCCAATTATTTTAAGGGAAATAACAAGCAGGCATTTGATGTAATAACTCGATCGACACAAACTATTTGACTGCGCTAATCCATAAATTTATTTTTAATTGGGTGTATGATACCTGTATTCAGGGAAAGTGATCACGCCGACACAAATGCACTGTAGATTACTCTTACTGTTTATGTTGTAACTAATTGCAATGAATGTTCGTATCAGGAAATGAGCGAGCAAATGGAATTTTTTCAGATTTTGTCACAATCAAGCATTCATTTTAGGGTGTAGGATCGGATAGGATTCCAAAGCTTGCAAATTGCATCAACTCAATTTCTTTAGGTACTCTTTTACACGCGAATTCTGATTTAAAAACGTCTTGGGTAAAAGATCAAAAAAGCCTAAGGAAAGGCGTGAATTCGTTTTCTGTAGACCTCTAATCAGCTATTTGTTGCTAGTTTGTTCGCGAGGGTCAAAGGCGTTGATTACAATAATTAGGTAGTTTAAATACAGCAATAGGAAATAGTGTGTACGTCTCGCTATGCGGTACATTAAATTAGCAAAATGCGATAGGACTAGAAGTAAACACTTCACTACGTACGTTTTAAACTAGTAGCCGAGCCTTCTCCTCCAATGTAAGTAATTGAGATCGATTATTGGCTCCTGGAAAAAACTGTGTTTCCCAAACGTTTATTAATAAGCCGCAAATTAGTCACCGCAACTCCCAACAATGTCACACTTCTGACTTCTTCCTCCCTCACGCACGGTATTTAATCACCACCGTTTCACTGCAAGACCGTAAACTCGATCTAAAATCCGCGAACAACTGATCAGTTCACTCCTCAAAGCGCTATCACTACATTACAAGAGGTTATCGGCGTATTATTTCAATACAAAAAAAGTCGTCTACTGCTTCGAATCGTTCGAATTTTCAGAGACAAAGTGCCTACGCGAGCATGGGAGTGTATAAAGTGATTTGGTACACCCTTTTGGAATTCCTACTGTTACAACTTGTTAAAGTGAATTGTGCGGAAGACGTCGACGCCTGGCGTTTACACGAGAGGACCGTCGGCGGATTCTCTTGCGGACCGCCGCAACCTCGTTCGTTTCGATTGGACGAAATTATGGACGACGACGAACTACCCGACATTCAAACTCACGTAAGTGGCGTATTACAACTTTTACTATCTTATCAAAATTTTCTCTTGACTTACTTAAATCTTTTCCACGTGGATTGTCTAACCGTATAATCAGCCTTGAACTGTTGAGGAAATCCCGCTTATTTTAATATAAATGCAAATGCCACTATTTATTTATGTAAATTGACCTACCTTCAAATAATAATTTAAAATTTAGTACATCAGTAGCTGAATGCTATAACTGATAATTTGTCTACTATCCGTATCTCATTTCCTTTTCCTTCGATTTTTTTAGGTATTCCCAAAAATGACGGTTTTATACAGATGCGACTCGCACTCCGGTTGCTGTCAGAGCAGGACGAAACAATGCGCGCCCCAGGTCCTGGAGGAGGTCCGTCTCACCTTCCGACTGCTTGGTCACGCCGGAAAAGGCAGCCTGCTTAAAGAGAAGTACATCAACGTTGCGACGACAAATCACACACGGTGCTCCTGTCAGACGGTTACCGGTAACATCAAATAGCGTCGCGGTCAATTGGGGTAGTTTAGAAAAGTGATATAAGTATGAAGACAAAGTGCAATAGCAGAAAGGGCACGATAGAGAGTGCAGCCGGTGCCATTTATTTATTTCCGTATGAAATTTCTTCCGTTGAATTTGCCTGTGATAATAGGATATTTATTTTTTAATTTTAAGTATTTATTAATGACGTCCATCAAGCAGTATTTGTGATTTTCTATTTAAATGTGTTAAATAAAACTAAATCATATAACAATGTTGCAGGTAGTGCAATTGTTAAAGTTGTTACGTCTTTCCGATTTTGCTGAATTATGGATTAATCCAAGTCGGCGCTTACCTGGAAAAATTTACAGTGCTTTCGTTTCAAAACACCACCGATTGTAATTTGTTATTCAAAAAGACAAAAATTGCGAAAACACGTCCATATAGAGTGCTAGGGGGAAGTTTAATGGAAGGTCTACCTCTAGTTTTAGCAATCATCCCCACACCCCAACTACCCCCACTTTGAAATTGTAATATGTACTCTTCATCGAATTACACACCATTTTAAAGGTGATAAAATTCGCTTTACAAAAATACCTATAATTATGGGGAACGGATCCGAGTGTCTCTAGTATGAAATACTACTCCACTCCACAAGGAAGTAAGAATGTTTAGTAGCAAATATTCAAAGCGATTAGAAGTGCAACCGCTCGTAGAAATCTTCAAAAAATCAAAACGTATAATTTTCTGCTCCATAAAATTTTACGTATCTTTAATAGATTTTGAGTTATTTTGAAGAAAATGCAATTTTTGGCAAGAACGTCTCTTCTCTTCAAGCTCAGATTTTCCAAAACTAAGTACAGTACATACATAAAGTAACGATTATTTTGAATTGGTGTGGTGATTCCCACATTGTCGCCGAATGAAAACAAGTATAACAACCGAAATAGCTTAGCTTAGCAAACGGTTGTGTTATAAGGTAGTACCATATGCTATATTTATCGATTTCTTTCTTGTTAGATAAATATGTTTCGTCCAGACAATTCATTTTGCTTTTATGGGTACTTTCCTCCGACAAAGCGCTTTCGAGATATTCGCTCGAGAAGTTTCTTCCAGACGTCCCAATCGCCCTTTGTGAGTACCATCCTCCGACAATCAGTAAGGAATTATTTACCTATATCCGATCACGATACGAGTCGGAGAGGAGGCTATGGTTGGTAGAAATTAATTCCTTTTGTTGAGACCTTTCATTAGAGTACCATGAAGAATAAAACCTGTTTCACCTCCCCCCGCCCCCTCCAATCCCCTCTTTTGATGAGGAGTCAGAAAGTAGGGCGTTAGTTAGTAGAAAACAGTTCCTTTTGTAGGGAGGGAGCTTTAATTGGAATACCATTAAAGATAAAATTAATTTCTACCTCCTCGATCCTTTCCGCAGCCACTCACTGACCCCGGAAAGAAGTCGCGCAGAAAGTTATAGTTTACAAACCACACTGGCACTGGCACACCTTCAAGGTATAGGCTACATATTGCAAGAAAATTCCAGGACTCTAGGACTATTCCCCTAAAAGTAGTTCAAAACCGAAGAAGTGGGTCCGGACGGGAGGACAGACGGACGCACAAAACGCCAACATTCACACTTTTTTTTAATTCTTAAAAAATGATCTAAATAGGGACCAAAGTTACTTTAGTTGTAACTCGCTTAGGTTTGATTTTATAAAAACAAAAATCAGGGACGTAACAACTTAGGAGCGGGCCCTGGTGCAACACCAAACATACGGGCCCCACTGCATCATTAAAAAAAATCACTAGCATAATAGTTTATTGAACAATGCACAAAAACGTATGGCTGAACAATGGTAACCAACATGATAACATAAATTCAATTCAATATAAGACAGCTTAATAATTTCTTTGCGTTTTCGCTTCTCAGCTCCAGACAGATGTTTATAGTGGCTCATTGTTACTTATATGTGATTATGATGAGATGACGATTAGTAGGTCATCATGCACTAATACAATTACTCTTTCACTGGCACTGTAAAAGCCAAAGAAAGTAATGATAATTATTAATCGTAATGGGTATATTGAAGTTTATTTATTCATTTAACACAAAATTGACAAAATTATTTTACGTAATGTATATTTTACAATTTTACATACCTATTAGAGTCGGTCCCTACCACAGTGCGCTTATCTCTTAAAGGAAAGATTATGATTCATGAAGGTCTGCCGATATATTGCTAAATTTACATTTTAACAGAATAAGTACAATAATAACCAATTTCTTAAAATCCTTCTGTACCCCATATTTTCTAGTAATTTCTTGTTCTAACATTATACCTTTCATTCATTATGTAACAGTAACATAGAAATAGTTTAAACAAAGTAAACGCCGGGCCGGGCCCCTTCGGCGCCCGGGCCCTGGTGCGTCGCACCAGTTGCACCTCCTGTTGCTACGTCCCTGACAAAAATAAAGATTTTTCCGGGCATTTCAAAAAATGCTCTATGACCTTCATTCGAAAAATACGCATTGTCTTTTGGTTATTTAAAGTTTTAAACTTTTAATGTTGGAGCAACCTTCAACAGGCCCTTTGGCAACTCTGTTCGGGAAAGGAATTGAATCCGCTACGAGAAAAACGAAATTTATTACGCAAAAATATTGGTTCCGAACAGCAAACCAAGACCGAAAAAAAACGGAATTGAAACCAGCAAGAATAAACCTAGCATAACACACAGGTGCAAGAAATACATCCACTGCGACTACAAAATGAAAAACAGAAATACAAAAACCATCTGAAATTGTACAGGCTGGTTCAAATTCGTGACTCACCATTGTGATCTCCATAACGGTGAGAGATAGAGTGTAGGCAAAGTTGCCCCTTTACGCATTTGAAATTTTTGAATATTTCTTTGAAAATCACTGAGATATCACTGAAAAACTGAAAATGTCAAACGGTCGGAAATGGACGGTTACCGTTATCATCTTCTAGGGGCACTTTGTCGGAGAATCTGGATCTGCCATCAGAATTTCCATAACACTGTAATGTTCCTAGGGGTCTATCAAGCCGACACTGAAAACGTTGACTTACCCTATACTTAGGTACCGTTGGCAACTCTGGGAAAAAGCTACGAGCGGAGCCACCTACCTTTCAAGTCTAAACGATGGACACTTCGCGGCACCTTTGAATTTGGAAGGCAGTCGGTCAGATATGAGTGGCACGAATGAACTCCTACGTTTTGTAATCGGTTCTTGTATGTGTTGGGCCAACAGATAACTACCATTCGTTTTGTTTTTTTAGAAGATATATATGTTTACTAAAAATGAAACTGAAACCCGTTTGACAACGGGGGTTGAGGGACTTCAGCGCATTTTTGTGTGGCAAATCAGTATTCTATTACACAGTGTTGACTCTACCATCAATAAGATCTTGTCAAAGGCTATTTCGCTAAAAAAAAAACCTTCCACAAAATAGTACTGAATTTTTGGGGCGCTTCTCGTAACTCGAGTTTCTAATCTGTATGAGAGAGATCGGCTTTCAGGCTTTTTTATAGAGAGACAGGTTTTAATGCGTGAAAGAGCATTTGCATGCTGCGTGTTTCTGGTTTTTATTTTTAAGTGAGGATTTCAACCAAACCCGTAAGTTACTAAATTCCATATCCGAATCAGGGACTCTTTTGGTCGTAAATGGGGCAGACTCTTACATTACTTTTGGCAAGTTTACGAACCTTTCCATAAAAACCTTCTATTACGACTGCGTGGGAAGTTCCATGGATTTTCGAGGCTTGTTTTTCGAACAGAAATCATTTACAAATTGCATGGAAATTTTTTGAAGCGCGATGTGTTATTTATAATAGAAAAGGTCCCTACACAATGTTTTCCTACTGTAATGTATAATTAAGATTAAAGTTCGATTTGTAGAAATGTAAAAATAATTCTCTACAGTTAGGTATATTAACAAACGGATATGTTTTACTGTTTTACATACATTAACATTAAAGGCCATATCATAGTAGTCCTATGAAATGTTACATTTTTTTTGCGTGTATTTGTCAGAGGACGCAATTTTATTTTTTAGATATCACAAGTTAGTGGGGTTGCAGCCCTGGTCCCACGGCAGCCATCTTGAAAAAATGGGTGCAAATGGTTTTTATGGTTTATCTGACCAACTATTATTCTCACATAAAATTTATTCTGACATTTTTGAATAAAAATAAAATTCTCTATAACTCTCTCTCTCTCTCTATATTGGTTCAGTAACTTTTAGTCGTAGAACTAAAAATAACAAAGTTATAAACGAAAATTGATGAACATTTTGTAAACAATGTTCAATTGGCCGTTATAACTTTTTTTCTGGTGGTTTTACAAAAAAACGACCTCAGAGTATCTTAATAGAGGGGTTTTCAAGGAATAATTTTCATTACAAACTTTTTCAATTTTATTAATTCATTAAGATTTTATAGCGCTCCAGTATTTTACTATACATAAATATTAATGATTTAACGTAACTTCCTAATGTTCTAAATGACATGACATTATCACCTCCTTGGTCTTTTTGACGGACCAGGCTGCAAATCATGATTTTGTTGATTTTCAATATCAAATAGTTGAGGGAAAGGTTGAAGGAAGTGGCGTCATTGTCGGCACCAAAAATGGTACTTGTTTAATAATTTACTCATACGTAATTATTTTAAGTGGTATCATTGAATATTATTATTCAATGGTGGTATGCAATAATTATTGCCACCCGCACGTCAGTAAGGAAGGTATTGCATTGGGATAAAAAATGATCCCCCACCTTTTTGACGGTCGATCGGCCTGTCGGTCCGTCTGTACTCTCATTTGCGGCTGAACCGATTGCAACCAAATTTGGTACACATATTCTTAGATATAAAAGGAAGAGCTGAAAAGCTTTTGGACAGAACGCGTATGCGCAGGTGTGGTGGTGGTATTTGTGCTAGCCACAACAATTTTTTTTAATTTACGCATCATTGGTATCAAAATTTGATATAAGGGGTCATATACCCAAATCGAACAGTTTTTGAAGTAAATAAACCGCCTTCCGGGTTGGATCTGACACCTGGTCCGGAAGAAAAAAAAACGATCCAGAACCCGCTTCCAGTGGTATCTGTTAAACCGATCCGAGTTGCGAAGACTTTCAAGAGGAGGCCAAAACCGTCATCCACAACTTCAGAAAGAAGTCCTAAAAAGACCGTTTGGGATCCTGGAACGAGGAGATATTTTGCTCCCTTTAAAAGATGACGGGAACGTCTAGAAGAGCCAGCAGAGCTGGTGTACACGAACTCCGAGAAGGCCGACGCCTTTGCGGAGTCTCTCGAACGTTAGTTTCCTCCCAGCAACTCCAGAACTCGCTTCCAGTGGTATCTATTAAACCGATCCGAGTTCCGAAGACTTTCAAGAGGAGGCCAAAACCATCATCCACAACTTCAGAAAGAAGTCCTAAAAAGACCGTCTGCGATCCTGAAACGATGAGATATTTTGCTCCTGACGGGATGACGGGAACGTCTAGAAGAGTCAGAAGAGCTGGTATACACGAACTCCGAGAAGGCTGACGCCTTTGCGGACGCTCTGGAACGTCAGAAAATACACAGAAAGACGCATCTCAAGGCATTGGGGATGGTTGTAAACGCTCCGTGGTTTGTGCGGTTGTGCAGAAGACAAACATCACCAAGATCTGGATGTTTACTATCAAGGAATTCATAACCAATGAAGTGGAAAACACATTCGGCGGCATGCGAGACTGCCAAAACACTCTGGTAAGGGATCTGGACACCTGCGAAGTAGACAAACAGTCGATACTCGCACACCTAGTAACGGGCGATTAAAAATGAGTTGCTGTCGAGTCGCCTTTGGAAGTTCAGGTGGTACCTGTTCGAAAGTCTAGCCTCGTCTGCAAAAAAAACCTTTCAATTCAATACTTACCTCTCTAACGTTTTACCTCGAGAATACACGTTTCTATCAAAAATGAACGAGTTGTTATTGTTTTTAAAGGCTAGACATACTTTTGTTCCTGTTTCGTACAAAGCGGTATCTGTATACATTTTTCAAAATACAAAAATACTTGCTTGGAAACGGCTAAAGCGACCACCCGTTACAACAACCTTGTTAACATAAATTCCTTATCATTCGTGTGTTGCGATAGTAAGTACCACTTGGTCATCCGCAAAGTTTAACGTAAATAAGTGAGCTATAACCTCTACGCAAATTCTATACGATTCTAGTAAAGTCATTTATTTAAAGATATAGTGCGCCATTTCAATTACCTTGCATAATTTGCAATATTTCAATTAATAAACAGGTATAGTGGACGGAAGGTGCGTTATCCAAGGTCTGTTACAAATATATCTGCATTTTTAATTTAAGTTGGTGGAATCTCATCTTCCATGTGCACAAGGGTGACATTTCGATCGGTCTCCGACACGGATTCGGTTTTCAGTCTAGCCCTAAGATCAAGACATCTAATATCGGTCATCAGCGAATGACTTTTATTCGCCAGGTCCCTGTCTATAATAACTTGCTGGTTTTCCAAAGCGTTGTAAGTGGCCTTCGCGCAATAAATTTTATCCTCCAAATCCTTGCGGGTTTGGCGAAGTTGCAAAACCTCGTCCTTCAGACCGGCCTCCGCCTCGTCGCGTGCCAATTCGATGCCCGGCCTGTACGACCTGTTCTCCAAGCGAGTTTCGCATAGCTTCAGCGCGTCCGTTTTGGCCCTTAGAGCTTCGTTGAGAGTTTCGATTTCTTTAATCACCTTGTCCATTTCGTCATGCATCTTCATCAGCTGCCACTCCAGTTCGTTGCGGGCGCGTTGGGTTTCGTAAATTCGTTTGCGAAGGGTGAAATCGACGCAGTCTCTTTGCGCCCTCATGTCATTACGCGCGCGTTCTCGGACCACAAATAAGGCTTCTCTTAGTTTGGCTGTGTCTGTTAATTCGCTGTCTGCTAGCAACTTGGTATAGCGCGAATGTTCCAACCATGTTTCGTAAGGGATGGAGCTGAAAAGAGTACATCTCTAGAACGCTACCATGAAGAACTTGATAAGTTTACCCTTGCGGAATTTTTAAGGGATCAGTTTTGAAACTAATATTTGCGCAATTTTTGTCCAATGTTAGCTGATCGGTATCAATAGCGATAGATTCCTTTTTGTCATTAATATCCAAACGTAACTTAAAACGCACCTCTTCTAATCTATTAAGCTTCTCCCATGTGGCCTGGCATCTGTCCATTAATAGCTTCTTCACGTTCTCCACGACACACAGCTCCTAGAAACCGATTTGAAAAATATAAACCTACCAAAAAAGAATCTTACTTTTTTCAATTCGGTGTCACCATCATCATATGTTAACTCAGTACCTTGACGGCAGTCTCTCATCGTGATACACTCCGAAATCACCCCCAGTGGTATACCAAGAGCATCGAGCTCGCGTTCCGTTGCAAATTTTTCATCCTTCAGCGAATTTATTTCCTTGTCCACGCGTGCTAGACAACCTTCTAGCGTTTCCCTCCAGCGACTTAACTCCGTAATCCGATCGGCCAATCTGGCATTGTTATGGTACGTATCCCATTCGGTACGAATTCGTGTTTCATTGCGTAATTGTCGCGCTTCGTGTCTCAATTTAAATGCATCATTTCGCCTTGTGTCGTTGGTTTGTTGAATCTCCCACTGTTTGGCATGCCAATCGGCCAAACCGACATGTTGTATCGGTTTTTCAAATGTAACCACCGATTGCATTTTAATTTAATTTAACTACTTACTTAATTGTTAATTTTCAAATAAAATCCGAAAGTTCTGCTGTTTCGATGATGACACACTGACATGTTTCAGTATTGATAAAATAATATTTATTGATGGTAACCATGGCAGCGAACAGCACCCATAACAATTTTGATATTTTAGTTAAGCGAATTTCAATGTATCATAGTGCATCTCTAATGGCCACATTTGCACCGAAAAATTTAAGCCTCTGCCTAGTGCTAGGCTTAGCTGAAGCCCACATAGCAAACCTATATACATTGCATATAACATGCACATTCCACGTGGGATTTTGTATATCCATAGGATGTGGAAAAGTATGTCGCAAATGTCCTATGTATGTGCATGGGGTAACTGTAAGTTTGGCAGACTTCACATAATACATAGTATATACGTTTTGGATGTCTTCTGTAAATGCATGAATATGCATCAGACATGCTGTGTATATTGGTATACTGACAACTGGATATACCGTGAATATTCCTGTAATATGCAAAGATGTTCAATAGGATATTCTATGTATGTTGTATACATTCAGAATGGATGTTCCATAGAGATTCCTCTAACATTCGAGAAGTTTACTATCGTCTATACCTACATAAATAAATTCTTTTCACTGAGTGTAGCTTTTTGTTTATTAAGTCTCCTAGTATTCAATGGAAAATGTGCTTAAGAAATTATTATTGTTTTATTTAACACGGTAGTCTTGAGTGATCTTGATCCTGTTCTTATTCAACGCTATAATAGCGCGAGTTCATAACAAACAGGTTGCTAACATACCTGCCATTCTTTTCCTTATATTAATTCCCATCCAGTCTTTACATATCACTAACACATATTTGCAACGTTAGGTCATGCACACACGAAATAAAAATGATTACTTTCACTGTCCAAATTAGACAAACAAACTCATTAATAACTCGCGGAATAACACTCCTGATTTTAGAAAAATGAAGTGTATTTGCAATAGCACCTTACTATATCTTCATCGCCGTAATTCACAGAAAATGAGACGCTAACGTTTGTAATGTCGGTAATACAGAAAACGCATGTATCTAATCCAAAACGTATATACATACCATATAATACCATGTATATACATAGAAGATCCTCGTGAGGAGGTATAAGATTGATACATAAAATATACATACAATGTGTGTGCCTAAACATCCATATCACATCCAAAATGTATATTTATAGAATATCCATACTGGACATAAAATACTGTAATGTTCCTAGGGGTCTATCAAGCCGACACTGAAAACGTTGATTTACCCTATACTTACCGTTGGCAACTCTACAATGCCGAACCACCTACCTTTCAAGTCGAAACGATGGTAGTTTCGCGGTACGTTTGAATTGGAATGGCAGTCGGCTCAACATGGATGGCACGAATGAACTCCTACGTTGTGTAATCGGTTCTTTATGTGTTGGGACGTGAGACATCATCGGGAAGGGAATTAAATAAAAGACAGAACTTTTGTGCGTAGGAAATGACAAGATCGAATTACATTATTAGCCAGGTAAGTGAGTTTTTACTGGCGATAGGAGAAGTTGACTGGCGAGCCGTCAGGCGAGCCTGTCATCTCCTAGAGCCAGTAAAAACTATTACCTGGCGTATAATGTACAATATTTTATTTGTTACTCATTTGTAAACAATAGTTAACGTAAATAATTAGTTCTTAACTTGATCTCGAAGAAATGTCTAAAATATCATGTTATCCATGTAACAGAGACTTCGCATTAATTCTGGCCAATGAAATTACTAGATTACTAACTTATAAAATTTTTACAGGTCAGCTGCCAGTTTTACAAGTCAGTAGCGTTTAAACATGACGTTTACCCGTTTGCGTTTTGTCTTGTTAATCAACGTTTACAACTGAGTAACAAATAAATTAATATAATGCTGAATCACAGGCCCGGCTGGAATTCCTAAAGAATCAATATTTCATACACATAACAAAAACAATCAATAAAACATTACAATAAATTCATATAATAGGTTTGGATATTGGAAGGCCAGTCCAAATCCCACACCGAGTAGTCTTTAGTTGCTCTGGTCATGACATGTCAACATTGTATGAAATCGCTAGGAGTTGGCCTCTCAGAAGAGTCTTTCACAAAGGAAGGATAATTGATAACACAAACAAAAGGTTACAACGAGAACACGCTTTTAGCGAATCCCTGCACAAGTGAGGCCGGGCTTAGCCGGCAGCCTCATGTACGACTAGCGGGACCCCAATTCTTTCATTCACACATCTTTAGGGCCAGTCCAACCCACTAGTTATAAGTTCCGGGATATAAATTACCGAACTCCAGGCTCTCTACCATGAGTACTGACCGTAACCGACCAAAAGACAAATCATGACATAACAAAAATAACAGAGCAACCATCGGCAAACTCGCACACATACTTAATTATAAACAATAGTATATTAAGTATGGAGAACGGTAAGGGATTTTTACCGTTCGAAGACAATTGTTTGGAGGAGGAGCGAAGCGACGACTCCAATTATTGTCTGAGAACGGTAACCCTTAACGTTCGACGTGCTTATAACATTTTTTGCGCGATCGAAATTAAATTTATGCAACCAATATAAATATGCACTAAGAAATTAACGAGCAGAATAAATCGAAATGATCGAAGTGGTATGGTGTATATCACTAGGTAACCAGTTTATTTGTCAAAATTGAAGTTAATAATTTCATAAAAATGTGCATGTGTCTGATGTAGTTTACTAGCTTTGAACTTCCTTTATGACTTTATGAGCGTCTTGCTATAGGAAACAACAGCACAAATTGTACGTTTAATGTACCTAACAATAATTAAAGATTAAATGTAATGTAAGACTGTTGATTTTTAAAAAGGCGTCGGTAAGTATTTTTGCTGTTCTGTTTTTAGATCGGTAAGTAATTTTGACGTCGTCGTAATCATAGCAACTGGTAAATTCTACCTACTGTCATGGAAACACCCATGGTAAATAGTCAGAAATGACCGATCGCGCAAAAAATATATAAAATTTATGTAGGCGTTGACAGCTGACACCTTTGCACTGGCATAATCGAAGCGGACACAAAACCAATATTCGGTCACTACATGTCAGGGATCGACTAAACGAATGGATTAGCAATATCGGCAAGATGACTCTTTTCAAAGACACAAAAAAAAAACAGTACAGAAAATATATATCTCTGCGTATGTCAGTTCTGAACTTTAGCCAGCCTCTGCTACGTCAAATCGAGATATTAAATATCGGTATCAAATATATCAATATCAAATATAGCACAGTACATATTCGAAACAAGTCACCCCGCCAAATATTAATAATCATATTCACTGATCGGTTCAAATAAATAGTAGGAGCTAACGTTAAATATCACATTATAATAAAGCAAAGGAGCATGTCGTGGCAAAACATTAGTATCAAGTAATTAATTCTCAATGCCAAGTGCAATATGTAACAATCAACCGCCTAACGTACGTCACTCGCCCCCAGATGAGGTAGCCTGTAAATAAACAGTAACATATTCAGGCAAACAAAAGCGAAATGTGCTGCAATAAATTCAATTATAAATTAAAATGTAGTTCTGCGTACTTGTATTGGATATCGCCCCTAAGGGAACATACTGTATCTAAATATAAATAAAAACACGCAAATCTGTCAGTAATTCATGTAGCCAGCGCTTGGAACAAAGGAGTACTGTAAATTGGAAAACAACATATTTATGTAGAATCTTTATGCATTTAATAATTCATAAGTACCTATGACCAGTATAATCAAAAGTGCAAGTTGTCATAAATTGCAATAATCATACTGTACGAGAATAACATTAAATTGGCAGATAATCGAACACGATCATATTATTAGATGGATGCAAAAGGCGTAGAGATAAAAAAAAACGAGTACATCACCTTTGTTATTGTCGAAGCTGCACTCACTATTCGGAACGTAAAAATTTACTTCTGCTCTCAACAAAAGCATAAATACTTCTCCTTAAATTTCCCCTTTGTAAGCAAATCCTAGACGAATAATAACGACCGTGTTCCGAGATGTCGGGTCGATACGGATCATTAAGTTCCCTCGCATAGCGTTATATTTGACATTTTTATTGTAAATTATGGCCTATTTCAATGTAGAGCAGAGGAGGAAAAAAAACACGTGTTCCACGGAAACGAAACAAAGCGCAATCTTGACTTTTTTCGTCGCGCCAGGATCGATTTCGGGAATATTTAAATCGAATTTTAGCGGTCTAATTCGGTTCCATCACAATACATAAGATGGACAGGATATTCCTTCTACATTATGGATTTAAAATGTATATACATAAGATATCGGGTATGGTATGTGGGAGTGTATAGCTCAAAATCCATTCCAACGATTATAGCGGCAATGGTTGCTATCTTAATCTCCGCTTATGCTAATCTCTGCTTAAATTTGTCGGTGCAAATGGCCATAAACATATTTGCATACTAGAAATACCTGGCGCTCCCACCTGTGTAACATCTTACATCAACGATCAGCATATTAGTCTGGCGAAATGTAGAAATGCTACATAATATCACAGATAAAATACCAACTGTGATAATAATATATAAAATTTTAAAAATGTCGACCGGGAATCGAACCCGGGCCGTCCGCGTGGCAGCTACATCGTTAAGCTGCGTATGCATTATTCGAACCGAACATGTAAAATGTCACAAATAAATTCCTCCACCAAAAGTCGTTTTTTGTGACGAACACAAAGGAATTCGTTCGCACAGTTGGGACCTCGGTTGGGACGTCTTTTACTACTTCTCCGTGTTTGTAACGCGCCCGAATCGATTGGAGCACAAAACGAATACGCAATTATGTGTTCATTCTGTCAAAAGTTTACGAGCCATGAACGAGCATTTTACATGTTCGGTTCGGATAACGTATACGCATCTTTAGACGAACGAAGACGACGACGACAATGCTACATAGATATAATATGCATCAGCATATCCACATGAACGCCAAAACACCGCCGTCACCGATCGCCCATACTTCAATGCACCCCATCTCCAAGCCGGTTGCTTTCTCACCCCCTCACTTCCTCTGGACTCGCTGTTGCTCATGCCA